TTTTTTCAAATCAAAATAGTGCAAAAGCACATGTCGAAAAAACACTTTATCGCGTTCCATTTTTCACAAAGCAAAAGAAATTGTTGTTTAGGAAAATAATTGTGTATGCTGACTGAATGTTATCGAGAAATGTCGAAATTAATCACAAACTACCTGTTTCGTTAGTAATGACTACTAGAACTGTTTGCATTGCTATCTAACATTTGCGGGCGGAAACTAAGTTAAGGTCCTAATAGATCGTATTGTAGGTAAATCGTCTAAATACCTGCTATTGCACTAAGAATAGAAAAGTATATAACATGCCATTAAAAAATGGATTTATTAATTTATTAACTGAATAGTATAGCATGCCATTAAATAAATGAAAGTAATCTTGAAATCTCCGAAGCGTTTTCATTTGGTAAAAAATTATTATTATCATATAATAGCCTCCTTGGTGCCATGAAATTTTGGTTACACAAATTTTCCTGTGAACTATAAAGATTCGAAGATATTTAAGGTAGTAATAGCTATTGATCTACACTATATATTAAAATATAACATATTATCTTGCTATTTTCACTTACCAGATTCTATGAAGCAACTAACTTTCGATTTAGTCACCAAAGATACTTTACAGTGTCCAAGGACCTTGTTCTCAGCGTTAACCAGAATTAGACACGTAGGAAAATTATCGCAAGACACATTCAGAGATTTCATTCTGCAATATAACAATAAAAAAATGGTGAGTTTTGACACATTTCTGACAGTCGTTCTAATCTATCTTTCAAAATCAAGGAAAACATAACACACCGTGCATTTTCGCTTCGAGGCCATTCAGAATTAAGTAACTTACAACAATCTGTAATCAAATCAGGCCGATGGTGGAGAGGTATCACTATGTACTTAGTATTGTTTTCCATCATTTCTTGCCTGTAATCAAAATTGGACATTGTCAATATTCGTTTAGCACTAAAAAACAGCTAAAGGTAACTTTTGTGTGCATGTGCGTGCGTGCGCGTGCGCACGCGCTTATGTAGTCGTATGCACATATACACTGTTTTACTAGATAGATAGATAGGATCTGTTTATTCGTTTTCCATCATTTCTTGCCTGTAATCAAAATTGGACATTGTCAATATTCGTTTAGCACTAAAAAACAGCTAAAGGTAACTTTTGTGTGCATGTGCGTGCGTGCGCGTGCGCACGCGCTTATGTAGTCGTATGCACATATACACTGTTTTACTAGATAGATAGATAGGATCTGTTTATTCGTTCTCCTTAGGGTTACAAATCTTAACTTACAATCCCTTAATCTAGCTTAACTCTATCTTACGTCTACATTACAATTACCTTAATCTACCTGCACACACACACGCCTCGGACCCCCGTTTCCGTCGCAATTTCAATTTCCTCACATATTTCCTCTACCTCTGCATTCATCTCTGACCCAATTTGTCAGTATGCATCTCTGCTCCCCTCTCCCTCATATCCTCTCCCTCACCCCCCACTCCCAAATTCCTCCTCCTAATCCCTCCTCCACTCCTCCCTCCTCATCCACTCTCCCTCCATTCCCCCCACACCCTCTCTCTCCCACACACACCCACTCACACTCTCTCTCTCCCGCTCCCCTCTTCCTCCCATCCCCCTCTTTCCCACTCTCCCCCCTCCATACCACCTCCCCCTCTAAATTCCTCCAATTTCCTCAACCAGTCCTCTCCCTCTCCCTCTTCCCCAATACTCTTACCACCATCTCCTCCCAGCTCCCTTTTGACCCCCATCTTCCACATTCCTCCCATACATGCTCCCATGTCTCTTCCTCCAATCCACACATCCTACACTTCCTAACCTCCAGACTCGCCCAGTACTTCCCTTCCCTCGCTCCCTCCCCCAATCTATATTTAGCTACCCTCTTCCATCTTTTTTCTGCCCACCCCTTTCTTAAATAATCAGGTATTCCCTCCCTTTTTACATTCTAGTACCATTTGTTACTTCTCAATCTTTTTATCCTATCCCATCTTCCCTCTCTCTGCCACTCCCTATCCCTCTCCTCCCCCCTACTAAAATCAAACACCCCCTGCCTTCTCTCCTCCTCTATTTCTCTTACTACTATCCCCCTATCCTCAAAAAATCCCTTTCTTTCCTTCTCCCAATCCGACATGGAAGCGGTGTACTTGGACACAGTGCATTTGGACACAGCCAATCACAGCACCATATGATTAGAGACATTTGTAGGGTCCCTTGGAACAGCGACTTGTGATTGGACTGTGTCCAATTGCCTCGTGTCCAACTGATATACACCCATCCGACATCCCCCCTCCTCTTTGTGCCCTCTCCTTCATCTCCTCCCAACACCTCCTTGCTAATTCACTTCCTCTCTCCCCCGCCAATCTTTCCTCGAAGCCCCATGCCCTCCTTCCCGCCCGTGTCCTCAATTTGTCCCTTAATAATTCCTCCCTTACTAAGTAACCCGGAGTCCTCCAACTAACCCCCAGTATCCATTGCAAACACTTCTCTTGCAAATTTTCGACCGCCTCCCTCTCCTTCTACCACCAAATCTCCACCCCATATGCCACTACCGTCCACACTAACGCATGAAACAACCATACTCTTTTCCCCTAGTCCCCTCCAAACTTTCTCTTCCCTATCCCCCACACTTGCCTCAATACCATCATTCCCCTCCTCACCCTATCCTTCACTTGTTCCTCCTGCTTACCATTATTCTGAAATACATATCCCAAATAATTAACTTTCCTTACTTCCTCTATTACCTTCCCCTCCCATCTCCAGCTTACTTTTTTCCTTCTTCCTCCCCCCTTCCCAAACCTCATAATTTTCGATTTCCCTACATTTACCACTAGTCCCTTCCCTTTTATGTATCTCTCAAATCTACCTAACATCGACCTCATCTCATCCTCCTCCTCCGCCAACAGTACCAAATCATCCGCACAAGCCAACGTATAAATCTTTTCTCCCTTCAACTTCACTCCTCCCCACCTCCCCCCTCTCATAAATTCCTCCACGTCCGCTATTAAGATATTAAATAATGTTGGGCTCAACGGACATCCTTGCCTCACTCCTTTGCTCGTCCAGAATATTTCACTCAACTCCTCACCCATTCTCACCCTACCTCTTGTCTCCCTTAACAAATCCATACATCTAACTATTAAACCCTCCCTTATTCCTCTCTCCCTTAATGTCTTTTCCAGCACATCCCTGTCCACTGAGTCGAATGCGGCCTTTAAATCTACAAAAAATGCTACCATTTTCCCTCTTTCCCTACACAATCGTCTATTCACCAGATAATTAAGGACATAAATATTGTCCATCGTTCCCATCCCCCTCCTAAATCCCGTCTGATTATGTGGAATCTTTTTTCCCTCCTCTAACTCCTCCTCCAATCTCTCTCTTAGAACCATGGCATAGATCTTGTATAATGCTGAAGTTAGCGTTACCCCCCTATAATCCATCACCTTATCCCTTTCATCCCCTTCTTTCTTACTGGTACAATTATTCCCTCTACCCATTCCTCAATCCATTCCTCCCCTCTCCAAATCCTGTTACATACCTCCCATACATATTCCTCCATCCTCCTCCCTCTATATTTCCAAGCTTCTCCCGACATTCCGTCTCCACCCACCGCTTTACCATCCTTCAGGCTTCCTAACTCCTTTTTAATCTCTCCCCTATCTATATCCGTCCCCGAGTGCTCCCTACTCTCTCTTCTAATCCCCCTCACAACTTTCCCCTCCATATCTCCTAGTAAACCCTTAAAATATTCCACCCATTCCTTCATTTCTATACATCCATCTATCCTCTTTCTCCTCCTCCTCTCCCCGTTCACCATTTTCCACACCTGTCCTTCCGTTTTCGCCTCTTTCGTTGCATCCGACCATTTCTCACTTTCCTCTTTCTTTTTCCTTTCGCATAACCTATTATATTCTCTCTTTACTTCCCTATAACTATCTCCTCCTTTCCCCCTCTTCCAATTTCTCAGTTCTTTTCTTACCTTCTTCTTGCCCTCTCTACATTCCTTGTCCCACCAGCCTCTTACTCCCTCCTCCCCCTCTCTTCCTTGATCCTCCTGTAATATTCCTAGCACTTCCTCCTTTATCACTTCCCATCCCACCCTTCCCAAACTCTTCCTATCTTTTCCCTAAACAATTCTTTTCCTGACTCCGTCCATTTCCACCTCTTCCTCCTCTTTCCCCCTCCTTTTTTCTCCTCTCTTACCTCCTCTCTTACCGAGACTAGCACTGGAAAGTGGTCCGAATCAACTCTCTCCTCCACCTCCATCCCTATAACTTCATCCCAAACATTCCCATCCCCTATCACATAGTCTATTACTGACTCTCCTCTTGCTCCCGCGTACGTTCACATCCCATCCACATCCCCCTTACCACAGCCATTATATATAAACCATCCTATCTCTTCCAATTTTTTTATTAAAACTACCTTCTTTATTTATCTTTTTATCCCTCGATTTTCTCCCTTCCTTCTTTCCCTCTTTCGTCCCTCCCTTCTCACCACCCTCTTAACTCCCCTGTTCTTGCATTAAAATCCCCCCCCCCCATTATTGTCCTTATTCTATCCCCCTTATCCTCCGCCCAATCTTTAATTCTTTCCCATTTCTCCTCTATGTCTCCATTTATATAAACCCCTATGATTCTCCACTTCTCCCCCCCTATTATGATCGTCGCTGTTATTACCCCCTCTGTTTCTTTTGCCTCCCCTCTTCTCTCACCACTATCTCCTTCCTCACTCCCATCAACATCCTCCCCCCCCCCCCCCGCCCTCCC